AAAAAATCAAAATAGAAAAAAAAGCAAAAAAAAAAAAAACAGATCAAACCTTGCTTTAAGCTGTTTATTTTTATTTATTTATTTTGGTGCTGGCCCTGATCTCTGAAGCATAGATTTTGAAAGGGGGTGAAATAAAGATTGTGTGAGGCTGTGTTCAAACCGTGCAGGATTTCAGGGCATTGTCTCTATACGTTGGCCGCTGAGACCATACCCAATAGCCTCAAAGCAATCTGACTGCTGCTGCTGTCCAACCAAAGATACCAATGTTTAAAAACGGGTTTGTGTTTTGTTTTGTTTTTCTTAATATTATTTATAAGTGGACCTACATTTTTACAATAGTGCTCTATAACTTGACTTTTTCCCTACAATAAAATTTTGGTAATTGTAAATCACTTCAAGTAATAGTATCCAAAAATAAAAATTGTCATCCTTTATAGATCTTTGTGTTGTTCCAGATACGTAGAACTCTCTTTTTTTGATGCAACACAAAAAGAGAAATGTCAAAGAATTATACTAGTCACTCTTCTCCATGCAATTACGATGGATGGGGATTGAGGCTTTCAAGTAAAAAAAAAAAAAAAGCATCCAAAAGCTTAATAAAAGTAGGTCATAATACTTGTATCCTATATTACACATCTTTTGATGTCATACAATAGCTGTATGAGAAACAAAGTGTAATTTAAGTCTTTATTTACTGATGATCTTCCCCTCTAATGATTTGTTAACCGCTGTGACTGAATTATTGAGTCAGTGAAAAGGATCAGTCCAATTTTTGACCAAACTATTCAGATCAGTTTTGTGAAGTGATGATTCATTAAAAGGATCTGACTCAAAAGAACGATCCAGACATCGCAACTTCTCTCAGAAACAGAATTTTAATTTTTAACTATCCCTTCTAAGTTATTCAGATTCAAGTTAGATCCACAAGTTTTGAGTACTGCATTGTGCAGATATCAATATTTCAATCTATATTAATCTCCAGAACGCATGCCCACTGATGTGCATGCAGTTTTTTTCTTTGTTTTGCTCATTGTTTATTTGACATCATTAACCCGTTTATTGCTGGTTGGTGAGACACTCTTCACCCTTTGAAAGACATTAGTTGACTCTTCACAGTTCTTCTGCACAGTTGTAAAACGTCTCTCTCTGTAACTGCAGTGAATGACTCCAACGTTCAGTTTTTGGACCAAGACGATGATGACGACCCAGATACGGAGCTGTATCTGACCCAGCCATTTGCCTGCGGTACCGCGTTCGCCATCAGCGTGTTGGACTCCCTGATGAGTGCGGTGAGTTAGTGGCTAAAAAGCTGCCACGTTGACACCTATTTACTGATTTTAATTCCTTTTAACAGATTAGCATGCATAAATCCATTAAAGAAATTATCCCCGCAGAATAAGTCGATTCAGGTCCTTTCATTGTGTGAAGGATCCTTCATATTATCTACTAGACTTCAGATGATCTTTTCGTTCGTATTCAAAAGCAGCCAGTGATTTGGTGAACAAAGCAACCTGTCAAAAGGTGCACAGTCATTTCTCTCCCATCATGGCATGTCATATAGAATTACATGAAGGCATGTCTCACTGCTAATCCTCTGAAATAATGTATAGGAAAGAGACATCCTCCGGCTGTGCAGTGCTTTAGATGTAGGGCTCAGGCGTTACCAGTAGGCAGAGGTTGGTAAATGAAATGCCACATTGATCAGACAGCACTGTCAGCAGCGGTGACATCAAAAGGAAAGTTGTTGCCAAGACTCCTCATATAATGTGTCATGAAATGAACTTTCAAGAGTCTTATTAGATCTTTTAACAAGGTAAGTGCTCAAGTTTTCTTTAATGGCATGCCTTGACACGCAAAGGTGGGCTGCTGTGGGGTCCAAGAGCTCTAATCTCCTAACAATGTCATCTTGGGTAGATTAGGAAAGATACCTTTTTTCCCTTTTTCCCCATTCTCTCTTCTTCTTTTCTTCCCCCTCACCACCTACGACCGCTGCTATCCCCTTATCCATATGATGGCTTAATTCCAGTACCTTTCACTTTGAGTGAAGCTAGAACAAAGCAGCCTTCAAGTGCATTTCACTGTGGACAAAGGTGAAGCCTGCTAATAGACAGCTCTCATCCATCATTCGGCTGAATGCTGCTGTCGGGCCCGGAGAGGTGTCACTCTAGTGCAAGCTTGCGCGACACAGCCCTCTGGTGCTCACACAAATGACCTTGTGGTCTTAGTGGAATCTTTTATTTTTATACGGTATCATTTGACAACTTTATCATCAGTGACACCGAAGAACATTTGATGGACAAGATACAACGTGGTCTACAAGTCAGAAACCACTTTAAAAGTAAAGGATACAGAATCTGATTTAAACTTGGAATTAAAATAAAGTTGTAGGATTTAAAATACACTACTGTTAGAAAGTTTGGGTTCGGAAAGATTTTTTTAAAGAAATTAATACTTTTATTCAGCGTAGACACATTAAATTGATCCAAAAAATAAGCAGCACAAATGTTTTCAACATTGATAATAATAAATGTTTCTTGAGCAGCAAATCAGCATATAAGAATGATTTCTGAAAGATCACATGACACTGAATGTAAGGAAAGTAATGATGCTGAAAATTCCACTTTGTCATCACAGGAATAAATTACATTTCAAAATATATTAAAATAGAAAACTATTATACATAAAAAAAATCTTACTGACCTCAGACATTAAATGGTAGTGTATAAAAGTTATGAGGTGAAGTGAATAAGAAAAATCAAAGAGTCTTGAAAAAAATCTGTTTTCAACAATAATAAGATAATAAGAAACGTTGCTTGAGCACAACACTGCCTTAAATCTTTCATGGTATTTCTATATCCAGTGCTGGGTAGATTACTTGCAAATTATGGTCCGTTACTGATTACAAATTACATGAAGTAAATTATAGTTAGTACAATAATCTGGATTACACATATATGTAGGTCACTATTTAAAATGTGACATTGACCATGTTAACAAATGCAGGATTACACAGCTCATCATGTTTTACTTACACATATAAACATATTATTATTAAAGCAAACATATTCAACTATTCACCTAAACTGTTAAAAAATGCAAAAAAGAAGAACTTTCACTAGTGGTCTCAGACTTTTAGACCCCACTGTACAAGACAAATGTCCCCAACTTGTTGTGTTATGAGATCTATTCTTCATTGTATGTAATCTGCAATTAGCTACAATAATGATAATTAAAATGTCCTCGTGTGCAAAACGCTCCCCTGTTAAGCGTGGCTGGTGTTACCAAAATGAATGTGCGTGGGGAGGAGACGACGACGACAACAACAACAACAACAACAGCTGGCGTAATTGCATTCCTGTGTCTCTTCCCTTCCCAGGGAGTGAAATGAGAAGAGACAGATCAGGGTCTAGATAACAGTGCTCGGGACAGCTCCAAAATCCTGACTGTCTTGAGTTGTGACTCTAATGGTGCTCACATCCGGATCCTCTCCTTTATCTTGGCAGACATATTTCAATGATAATATCCTCACCCTGATCCGGACGCTGGTCACAGGAGGCGCCACTCCGGAGCTGGAGGCCCTGCTGGCTGAGGAGAACGCGCTGAGAGGTGGCTACAGCACGACGCAGACGCTGGCTAACAGGGACAGGTGTCGGGTCGCCCAGCTGGCCCTCTACGATGGGCCCTTCGCAGACTTGGGGGTAAGTGGGCGGTTAAGAGGAGCTGACACGTTTTGGCATTTTCCCCAACAGGGCTCATTCCCTGTCCGAGGTCTCCCCTGCCCACTAATGCAAAGTGAACTAGCTGAACATGCAAAGTCTGTGGGTAAAAAATAATGCTGCCTTAAATCTTTCATGGTATTTCTACTGTATATCCAGTGCTGGGTAGATTACTTAAAAATTATGGTCCGTTACTGATTACAAATTACATGAAGTAAATTGTGGTTTATAACATAATCTGGATTACACATATTAGGTAATGTAGTCCGACTACTTTTTGATTACTTTTAGATTATTTTAGATTTGCTTTTAGACCTAACACATTTATCACATAGACCTGAATGTAATTATAGTGTACGATACTGATTTAAAAAATATATATAATTTCCCAAACTGTGGTTTGTGAAAAAAAAAAAAAACAGTAGGGTGTTCATAAAAAAAACTAAAAATTAATGAAATCGTAAAATGTCAAAAGCTTGGAAATCCCTACATTACATAAACAAACAACATGAACATAAACATGAAAACATGACATTACATGGCCAAAGTCTTCTGGGTTTTAAATAATTTTGTCCAGACTTTCAATATTAATGATTAGTGAACGTCACTGCATATGATGAATTCAAAGTATTTCACAGCTATGTGTCAGCAGAGTTTAGTAACTTGCATAAATATTGGTCTGTATATAAGAGGTATGTTCATTTAGAAAGGAACATTTAAAAGAAAAAAATAAACTGGGGTGAAAAAATAAATTATGAATAATTTACTGTCATTTTGTGAATACAATGTAATCCATAAAAAAGTACCTGTAATCTGATTATGAACAATTTAAAGTGTAATATATTCCAATTAAAAGTACTTAATTTTTGGGTTCTGATTACGTAATCCAGATGACATGTACTCATTTACTACCCAGCACTGCCTGTATCGAAGTAAAAATGCCACATATTTCATTATAGTAGTGTAGACATGAATGAGGCAAACAACACCTGCTCTTACACTCAAATTGGCTCTGTAATGCCTGAAATAAGCATATGATGATTTGAATGTTATGAATGAACGATTAAAGCACTATTGTGTGTTCTTTTTCAGGATGGTGGTTGCTACGGAGACTTATTTTGCAAAGCATTAAAAACATACAACATGCTGTGCTTTGGAATCTATAGATTGCGAGATGCACATTTAAGTATACCAGGCCAGTGCACAAAAAGGTGAGCTGTCCATTTGACCTATTAACCTCTTTATCAGGAGGGTTTTAGCCCTTTATTTCACTTGGCCTATAATCCAGCTTCACTACTGGGAAATAACAATTAAGCCCACATTATTGTAAACCCAGTTCCAACACCTAGCAAGGTGTGAGGTCCCTACCTAGGCAACATACTGTAGGAGCGCAGCTGATAAAATGTTTCACAAATTTATGCTTGCTTGTAAGATAAATTCATATTCAAAAGGACAATTTAAAAAGGAAGTCAGTATGTTTTTTTTCAAAGAAATTAATAAGTTTATTGAAATTTAACAAAAATAATAGTAAAGACATTTATCATGTTACAAGAGATTTTGATTTCAAATAAATGCTGTTTTCATCAACTTTCTTCATCAAAGAATCCTGAAAAAAGGCGCATCAAAGCAATTTTCGAGCATCAAATCAGCATATTAGAAGGATCATGTGACACTGAAGACTGGAGTAATGATGCTGAAAATTCAACTTTTCATCACAGGAATAAATAGTTTTAGAATATTAAAATAGTTTTTTTTTTTATCCTAATTATATTTCACAATATTACTGTTTTACTGTGATTTTGATCAAATAAATGTAGCCTTTATGAAGAAATTTCTTTCAAAAGCATTAAAAAAAGTGTACTGTAGTGTGCCTCATTTTCAGAGTTGCCAAGTCCGCGTATTATACGCGACTTTGGGCTTCTT